CCGACTGAAACAGGCATAAAACAACCTTTTTCTCTTCTTAAAAATGGTTTTCAATTACAAAAGCATCGGCTCATTTTATTATGAATCAGAAAAATATTTGTGCATAAATGGAAAATCATTCCCTATCCGTGTTCCTACTTCCTATAGGTAACCACTGGAAATATTTTGTTATATAAACTTTCAGACATTATAGAATAGACAGACAGTTATAGTCTATCCATAGTTATGTATAGCTATTATATATAGTTGTATAAGAAGAGAGTTTTTAAAGCATAATCCTCACCAACTTGCCCTTTTCATTTACTATCTTGTGTCTCCCTCTCCACAGCAGCGTAGTAGAGGGGTATCTGCTCCTTCCTTCTCCAAGACACAGCTCAGGGTGCAGCTGATATGCCCCAGTCTCAGTCCCAATGCCTGCAATCACCAAGATAGTTCTGGCAACTTGCCTGGGTGAGTGAATGGCTGGACACTGACAAGACCTACCCCTAGAGCAGTGTTTGCCCTGGTTCCCACACAACTGCACTTCCAAGATGAGCACTGGCTTCAGCCCCCTCAGATACCATCGTCTTCCCTGTTCCTCCAGGTCTCCAGGACACGCATGGCAAACTCAGGGGCCTATAGAAGCCTAGATGGTCAAGCAAAAGAGCAAAGCATGCTAGGTGGAAAAGTAGTGCAACTGTAAGGACTGGGTGCACTAGCCCTGTTTGAAGGGCAGCCACTACTCACACCATCTGATTCTTTGTCAGAAGGGAATATTGTCAGATCTCTACATTTTCAAGAGAAGCCAGAAATCAAATTTTTAATTAAAAAATCTGCTTTTCAAATGTCAGCAGCTAAGATTTTTTAAACATACTCAAGTCTTGATTTTTAATTTTTAAAATAAGCTTTATATTTTAGAACAGTTTTAGATTTACAGCAAAAATGGCAAAGATAGTACAGAGAGTTTCCATATACCCCACACCCAACTCTCCCTGTTACTAACATTCTACATTAGAATGGTTCATTTGTCACAATTAATGAGCCAATATTGATACAGTGTTAGTAGTAGTTGACTGACATTTCCTTAGCTTTACTTAATGTCCTTTTTCTATTCCTGGATCCTGTCCAGGATAGCACATTACATTTGGTAGTCATGTGTCTTTAGGTTCCTCTTAGCTACGAGTTTCTCAGACTTCCCTTTTTTATTCACTGACAGTTTTGAGGCATACGGATCAGAATTTTGTAGAATGTCCCTCAGTTGGGTTTTTCTGATATTTTTGTTGTGACTAGACTGGGGTTATGGGTTTTCAGGAGCAAGATCACAGAGATAAAGTACCAATTGTATCAAGGGCACATACTATCCACATGACTCATCACTGTTGATGCTCTTGATCACCTAGTTGAAGTAGTGTTTGTCAGCTTTGTTACTTTCCCCACTTTCCACACTGCATGCTATAAAAGGAAGTCACTCTGCACATCCCACACTTCAGGAGTGAGGAGTTACGCCTCGCCTCTTTGAGGACAGCAACCCTAAACAAATTATTTAGAATTGTCCTCAGCACAATCTTCCATAACCAGGTCCTACCTACATTTTGGGCTTTATCCCCAGGTGCTCCCTCCCCCTCCCATTCCAGGCTCATCATACTACAGCACCTGCAGATCCTGCATGGTGCCATTCTTTCTCATGTCTCTTGCTCTCACTATTGCCATTGTCTATGCATGGGTGTTCCTTATCTTTCCCCCTTGCATGATCAACTCCCCTTTGACCCTTTGACCTTCAAGACTGCTCAAGTATGCTCTACTCTAGAAAGTGTTCCCAGAACTCAGTCTGCCTCGAGGGATTTTCCTCAGTCCCAAAATACCCTGTGCATTTTCCCACCATGACATTCATTCCTCCCTATTGTTTATTCTCAACACACTCTCTTGTTAGATTGAGAGTTCTTTGAGAGCAGGACTGTCTTCTCACTTACCTTTCTATCCCCTGTGCTTATATAGGGCATACATCAGACACTGGGTAAATATATTTTGAATGAATGAATGAATGAACAAATGTACAGAATTCTAGATACAAGATTTCTTCTATGAATTTCCAGTCTTTCTGCCTTATCAACAATCACCACATTCTGCCTTGTATTACATCTGTTTAGGTGCTTGTCTTACTTATTTTAGTAGCCCTATTGCACTTTGAAGGCTATGATCATGTTTTATTTGTACTATAATTTCCAGGTCAATGTCTTACACATAATAGGTGTTTAATAAATCTTTGTTGAATAAGCAAATGAGTTAATGAACAAATAAATGAAGCTGCCTGCACACATAATTGGTGAGAGGGAACCGCACAAGGAAAGGAAGCATAATGAACTGGAAAATAAATGGCACAATTTTCAAATGAAATGAAGTTGACTTGCCAAGCACATTATTTCCAAGTTTTTATCATATGCTAGTAAATATTGTCACGTGTTTGTTTAAAGAAATTTAAAAACTTAATTCTTAATGAAATAGCTATATTAACTGCTCCTTAACAACAGAAAGGAGAGTCAAGCCTGATTCATCTCTTAGAGATGGACCTCCCGACAAAAAGATCCATGCTGCTACTCTTAAAAATTGCTGTTGTATAACACAACATATGTTCCTTCCTCTCCTTTAATAACCAAATGAGCTTGTGTCAAAAAATTTTTAAATAGCATTTTTCTTTATCTATCTCTAATAGAATATTGTTTTTCTAAGTGTCTTCTGCTGGAGGGAAGTAAACAGAAAATAACCATTCTGGAAGGAAAAAAATGTGCTTATAGCAAGATAGATTGCCATTGTCATCAACACCAAATTCAACTGCTGCAGAAGAATTTCACTTAGAGGAAACCAAATTAGGAGAGAATTGAGTTCCTCTTTTTCTTGCACCAAAAAATAAATTGTATGAGTACTTCTCAATTAGTATTTGATTAGGAAAACCTGTAGAGGGCGTCCTTGCACCAAGAGCCATAGAGGTTTGCGCAGAACTAGGAAAAAAATGTTAAATTAAAACCACACGCTCCAAGTCAAAGAAAATGCCTATTGTGCTGTGAAATTATTATCTTTACCTGGGTGACACTGGCATTACAACGTTAAAGTGTTTTAAAAGTAGCCTAATGTTCATACATTATATACATGAATATTCACAGAAATAAAAAATAATGAAATGTTGGAAAACAGGTAAATATTTTGATTTTAAAGGAAGAATGACTGCAAAGCTTTGAATGCAAACAGACTTAATTATGATTTATTTATCATTATGAGGTATAAGTTACTAAGAGAATGGGCTTTGAAGTCAGAGTGTCTGGGATTTGAACCCTTACTCTCATTTACCAGCTGGATATCCACAGTCAACTTATTGGACTTTTTGAGCCCTCTTTCCTCATCAGTAAAATGAGAATAATAGTAGTACCTACTTAAGAGTTGTGAGGAGTAAGCAAGCACTTAAAATAAAAGTACTTTAAAAATTAATACACTGCAAGTTCAAATCAGTCATAGACTTCTTATCTAATTCCTTTTTTCCTTTTTTTTCTATTAGTTGGTTGTATAGCTGTAAATATTTCCTTATTGGAAATCTATATTCTTAGAACCTAACACTGATTTAACTTGATGCCTGCACATGTCCAGCTTCTCTTCTGTTGTTTCTGTTTGTTTTTCCCTCTTGAGGCATCTGCTACTCTACAAAGGACTGATTGAAACACCACGCCCAGCCCCAGACATTTGATCCTTGAGGCATTTGTCACAGCATCGGGTACCAAAGAACAAAGACGAGTAAATGAACCTTTTCTGAGTCCGAAGACTTTCTAAGGTTTTTTTAATTAAAAACAAAACAAACAAACAAAAAAAACCCTTTTGCTTCCGTTTTCTTTGCACATCCAAGGAATTAGGCAGGAGGCAAAAATAAGTTCTTTCTGTTGGGCCAGGTGGATAGGTTATGCTGCAGACCACTGCCGGCCAAGCATGCTTCTCACAGACGAGGCCAGAGCCTTGGTTTTGCCCCCATGCACCTGTGAATTCGGCAATTTTTAAAAAATATATTATTTTATTGATTGATTGATATTTTTTTTGAGACGGAGTCTAGCTCTGTCGCCCAGGCTGGAGTGCAGGGCATGATCTTGGCTCACTGCAACCTCCACCTCCTGGTTCAAGCGAATCTCCTGCCTCAGCCTCCCGAGTAGCTGGGATTACAGGTCACCGCCACCACGCCCACCTAATTTTTGCATTTTTAGTAGAGACGGGGTTTCACCACTTTGGCCAGGCTGGTCTCGAACTCCTGACCTCCGGTGATCCTCCCGCCTTGGCCTCCCAAAGTGCTGGGATTACAGGCGTGAGCCGGGCCGAATTCAGCAACTTCTAAAAAATATCAGCAAACGTGAAGATATCCACGACGTTAGTGGAGCCCTACCCCGGAGGGTCGGGTACAGCTATCATCCAGGGCCCAGGGCACTCTTCCGGGCACTGCCGCGTTATTAGGGAGACAGACGGGCCTCCCCAACTGCTGGGTGTCGGGCAAGTAGCAGCTGAACGCCCTGCCCCTCGAGCCAAGGCCAGCGCCTGCGATCAGACCACCGGACAGTGGAGCCTCGAGTTTTAGCTGCTTGGGAACGCGCAAAGTGTCAGCCAATCGCAGAACAGAGCGCATAGGGTTGGCGGAGAGAGGAATCCTGCCGGCTGAAAGGGAGACGATGGGCAATTTGCACCTTCAGTCAGCGCCGGAGGAGGAACAGAAGTCATCACCCTCTTCACCATCACCATCATCAGCGCTCAGTCAAGCCCAGCATTGTCTGCTCTCCCCATTTCCCTCCCCCGAAGCCTCCCTTGGCCCGAGGCGAGTGACGTCCCAGGGGTCTCTGAGTGTCCTTCTCCGGGTTCGCCAGCCCTACACGCCCACTTCGCGTGCGCTCGACCGGGCTCACCGCGCTGTGAACGCTGACTCTGGGGTCCCGCGCGGCCCCGCCCCCGGGGGACCCCACAGCGCCCCCAAGTGGCGGCCGCCCGGGCTTTGCAGGCACCACTCGCTCGCACCTCGCTTGCGCCAGCCCTTCCCGCTCTTCTGTTCTCGCTCTATTTGCCCCGCTGACTGCCGGCCTCGCCAGCTTTGCCAGTCTTACGTCTCTGCCACCCCCACTCCCGCCCGCGCCCCATCTTCTTGCACGGCTCACGCCCGCTGGTTCCCCCCCGCCTCCCCCGTCCTGCCTGCCCCCTCCTCCTCCTGCTCTCGCAGGCTCCTTGGCACCCAGGCTGGGAAGCGACGCTCCCAGCCGTCTAAGCGGGAACAGCTCTGGTTGAGGGAGCTGCAGCGCAGCTGAGGATCTGACGGCCCCAGGTTGCGTAGGTGCGGCACAAGGAGTTTCCCCCGCAGCAAGGAGGTCCTGAGCAGCATGGCCCGGAGGAGCGCCTTCGCTGCCGCCGCTCTCTGGCTCTGGAGCATCCTCCTGTGCCTGCTGGCACTGCGGGCGGAGGCCGGGCAGCCGCGGGAGGAGAGCCTGTACCTGTGGATCGATGCTCACCAGGCGAGAGTACTCATAGGTAAGGCCCCCGCGTCCAGCGCCTTCCCCTGCCTGTGTCCTCCTCTCTCCACTCTTCAAGAAGGAGGGATACCTGCATTTCGTGTGTTTTAAAACTTAATTTCCATAAAAGAGTGTTCCCACCTTTTAATTAGAGATTTTCCATCTGAAAGCTTATAAACTTCTCTTTTAAGAAACCAAAGCTGATCTAGTGTTCTGATCGTGCTGTTGTTAATTTTTATAGCCCTGCGTTTTTAGATGCACCCAGCATTTGTTTGCATCGGTTAACTCCATGTCCATCCCTTTTCCCTGAAAGCATGGGTCTGTTGACATCATTCTCATCATCCACGGAGGACAATTAATCTTAGTAGCGCTGATGGTACCGAAAGCAGATGCCTTGTTAACAGAAATGACCTATACTAATTATTTAGTTTTCTTTTTGCTTGAAACTTCTGATTTAGATGATTTCAAGTCTACCTGGTTTGATCGTTGTATTATTTTAAAAACCAGGATTTGAAGAAGATATCCTGATTGTTTCAGAGGGGAAAATGGCACCTTTTACACATGATTTCAGAAAAGCGCAACAGAGAATGCCAGCTATTCCTGTCAATATCCATTCCATGAATTTTACCTGGCAAGCTGCAGGGCAGGTAAGTTCTGAGAAAATTACCCTTTAATATTTCCACTGCCTTATGGCAGGTGGAAATAGTACTGTACAGTATGTAGCCTGGCACATTTTACAGTTATTAAGAGAAATTTCTCATCTGATTGCCAAAGCAAATAAAGAATTAATTTCCATTTATTTCAAGTTGCCATATAAATTAATGATTTTCAAGAAAAAAGAGTAAGCCATGTGCCTAAGCCCACTATTCTGATAAGACTCAGTGTCCTGAGGCTGCTGGAAATATAAAGATCTCCAATACCAACATCACTGTGTTTCTGTAATCATTGACATTAAAATTTAACATACTTAAAAGACTCTTTTCCCATAGTAGTTTCTAATCATTTGTGACATTCTTTATACTTTACAACAAATTTTAAAGTCTATAAGTATTTCTGACACTGTGCACTTTTAAAAAGCCAGTATGTTGAATGTTATTCACTGGAATATGAATGTTGCATATTTCTGGTAGAAGTTAGATCCATAAGGTGTCATGTAAGAAAGTTGTAAAATATTGCAGCCTATGTTTTCAAGTTACCATTTTAAATGCTTTCATATGGAAAAGAAAACTGCAATCTATTTTTTATGAAGAAGCATTCCTTTTATTCCTTAGCACATTAGCATCTTTTATATGTTACCTTTTGTTCATTTTATGGCTTCTAAATTTAGAAAGAAAGAATAAAATGCTTATGTGAATTTAATTTCTTTTGTACAATTGGAGAATTTACTTTAGAGGACAAATGGTAAGTAATAAATTCTTTAGCTTATTAGTTGGTAAAATGTGTCTACTGTGAAAATCATTATAATTCTAATTAAAACCACATTTTGAGGTCTTTTTATTCTAAAGTTCCTTAAATGATTATTTTCAAGAAGAATGTGATACAGAAAACACTTTATAAAAAAATAACTATTTTGAATTGAGAAACCACTTTGTTTCCCTCTAATTACCTGTTATGGTATAGACATGACCATTTTAGCTGTCTTTTTCCCCTCGAGTCTGTTCTCTTTTTCTTCTTCTTCTGAAATAGATCAAATCTAGACCCTTCAACACTTCCATTGCTATGTGGTTAAAAAAAAAAAATTGAGGTTTTGGATTCATTGAGGTTTATAACAGGAAAGTCATCTGCTGTTAATACCCCCATTTTGCAGATAGGGTCATTGAGGTTTTTATTGCTCTACAGGGAAATTATTCCCTTTCTCCCTACAAGTCCCTCTTCATAGATACTTTATAAACAATTAAGTGGGGAATATTGTGAAATCAGTAATAAACCAATGAATGGCCTTTCATTATCTCCTTTTCAGCTGAATCTGTTTACTTGTGGTCGACCACTCATCAGATGGTCATTAACTAAATGGCCAATTAATTCTATATTTCTGAAAAGACATTTTTTAACCTATACCTTTATGGGTTCATAAGAACTACTAAAAGGTAGCTTGAACTGCACCCCTCCGGCTGAAAGGATTTGGTAACTGGTTAACTGTAAGAGAAGCAGAAAGTGCCAATAGCTCTCTCGCGCTCTCTCTCTCTCTCTCTCCCCCCCCCGTCCCTCTCTCCCTCTCTCCCTCCTCTCTCTATCTCTTTCTCACTTATGTTTGCTGAAGAATAGAATTTGAAGCAAAGGCTTAAATTCCATGTTGCCTCCCCTATTGCTTAATAGTATAATGCTTGTGTGCAAATATTGGCATATTGGTGAGTACAAAATGGACTGACATGTCATACAATCTTGGGAATATGTCCTGTAGGGGATTAGGGAGGAGAGTGGAACTGGCATGAAGATGAAGTTTGTAATATTTTTTTCTCCTGCTTGAGTGTTGCTCACCTATGTGGATGATCTAATGATGCAGGACAATGTTAGCACCTCAATTAAGCTACCTTTCTCTCTCTACTCATTCGGCTTTGAATAGGTTACCACAACTTACTACATAAAATCTGCTTTCTGAGGAAAATGTGGGAAGGGGGAATAATCTACACAATACCAAGCAGCAAGATGCTTTAAAATATTATTTTTTTATTTTTAATATCATTTAAGTATGGCTAATTTTGCTCCCTAAAGTTATGTGATCCCAGCACCATCATTTTTGAAATGCACAGAAATTCTGAAGATGGGAAAAATGACTTCAATACCAATTAAATATTTTGAAACATCTTTGGCTAAAACCAAACCACATCAAAACATTTACATGGAAAATGAAAATTTCATTTCATTATCTGATTATTTCATCCAAATGATATCAAATGTTTAGGCATTTCAGCAATACATAAACAAAACACATAGCTGATTAATGAAGTTTTAAATTTTATATTTAAGTGTTTTAGCAACATGTGGAAAACATTAAAATAACCTCAGGATTGAAGACCTTACAGAAGCAGTAAGGTGTTACTTACTTCCAATAAATTATTGGTCCAGTAACGAAGGGTCTCCAACCTCTGGGCCACAGACCAGTGCTGGTCCATGGCCTGTTGGGAACTAGGCTACACAGCAGGAGGTGAGTGGCAGGCGAGTGACTGAAGCTTTGACTGTATTGACAGATGATACCCATCACTCGCCTTACTGACTAAGCTCCGCCTCCTGTCAGATCCGCAGCAGCATAAGATTCTCAAAGGATTGTGAACCCCATTGTGAACTGCACATGCGAGGGATCCAGGCTGCACACTCCTTGTAAGAATCTCATGCCTGATGATCTGTCACTGTCTCCCATCACCTCCAGATGGGACCGTCTAGTTGCAGGAAAACAAGCTTAGGGCTCCCACTGATTATACATGATGGTGAGTTGTATGCTTATTTTATTACATATTACAATGTAATAATAAAAGAAATAAAGTGTATGATAAATATGACGTGCTTGAAGCATCCAGAAATTATTCCTCCACCTCCTGGTCCATGGAAAAAATGTCCTCCGCAAAACCAGCCCCTGGGGCCCAAAAGATGGGGGACCATTACAGTAACCCAAAGTGTTCTTGGGCCACTTAAAATGCATCTCATGTTCCACTTCCAACAAATGCAAATAAAAATTACAGTGAAATTCATTTCCCCACATCAACTTGGTCAGATCTTTTAGAAGTGGTTTTAGTATGTGGAGAACAGTGCATTATCATATGCTGCTGATGTGCATGTAAACTTTTTTGCAGGGCTGTTAGACTCTGATGGCAAAAGGCAGGATATAGACTTTTTGACTGGACAATTTTACATCCAGAGATTCATGCCAAGGAAATAAGCACAGACATAAATAAAAATTTAGGTCCAAGAATGTTCCTCATCATGATGTTTATAAAAATTAAAAAATAGATACAACTTAGGGTCCAGCAATAGTGGCAGAAGAATAAAATGAAGCAGTTATAAGGATATTCTAGACATCCATTTGGGGCCATGGGAAGATTCTCATGCAAATTAATTAGTTTATAAAAGTGGTCCCCAACCATTTTGGCACCAAAGTCTGGTTTCACGGAAGACAATTTTTTTTTTTTATTTTTTTATTTCTTTTTTTTGAGACAGTTTTTTTTTGTGTCGCCCAGGCTGAAGTGCAGTAGGGTGATCTTGGCTCACTGCAACCTCTGCCTCCCAGGTTCAAGCGATTCTCCTGCCTCAGCCTCCTGAGTAGCTGGGATTACAGGCACGTGCCACCACGCCCAGCTGATTTTTGTATTTTTAGTAGAAACGGGGTTTCACCATGTTGGCCAGGCTGGTCTCGAACTCCTGACCTTGTGATCCACCCACCTTGGCTTCCCAAAGTGCTGGAATTACAGGCGTGAGCCACCACGCCTGGCAGAAGACAATTTTTCTATGAACCGGGGAAGGGTGATGGTTTCAGGATGATTCAAGTGCATCACATTGATAGTGCACTTTATTTCTATTATTACTACATTGTAATATATAATGAAATAATTATACAACTCACCATAATGTGGGATCAGTGGGAGCCCTGAGTTGTTTTCCTGCAACTAGATGGTTCCATCTGAGGGTGATGAGAAACAGTGACAGATGATCAGGCATTAGATTCTCATAAAAGGTGCATAACCTAGATCCCTTACATGTGCAGTTCACAACAGGGTTCACAGTTCTATGGGAACCTAATGCCACTGCCGATCTAACAGGAGGCAGCGCTCAGGAGGTAATGCAAGCGATGGGGAACAGTCACCCACTGCTTACCTCCTGCTTTGCGGCCTGGTTCCTAACAGGCCATGGACCAGCATTGATATGTGGCCCAAGGGTTGGGGACCCCTAGTCTATAATATAGTGTATCCTGTTTGATTCCATTACAAAATAAGTTGGCAGACATAGAAAAAATCATTCGCTCAACATCTGATCTTCCAAGATGTAAATACCAGTTACATCTTCATCTATTATGTTTTGGTTTTTCTACAATGAATTCATTTATAATTTTAAAAAATATTTTACATCAAATGTGTATAAAAAGTGTGTGAGTTTAAAATTGTATGATATTTTGTATTATAAATAATTTATTATCTGGTATCATTTTTACACTGCTTATCACTCAACAAAATGATAACACCAATGACTGTCATGGGTCATCGTAACTATGGAGACCAAAGAATTTATTAATGCTCATCAGATTCTCATCAATTTCTTTTGAGGTCTGCCCAAATCTTTCTTGCCTGAAATCATTTTTCCTGAATTCTCCCTCTCCCTGCAATTCCCATTTTTCATGGACAACTTTGTCTCCATTTAACCTGATACTCATTTTCTGACATGCCTCTTCTCAACGCTTTTAGATGAGAGAAGAATTTCTACTGCAAAAGCTTAGCCTTAATGGATTTTTAGTAATTAAGGGAAAATACTCTTTATCCTTGTATAAAGCTTTTCAATAGATGATATTTTTCAATGAGGCATGCTTTATTCTTTTTCTCTAAATTTGAGACAGGCAGGGGCCATGAGCAATAATTTTAGTTTTTCTAAATAAGGCACTAATTAAACATTTTATTTGGAAAATAACCCTTTCCAAGCCCAATGACTTTCAAGTAAAAATTTA